CTCTTCTGCAACTGATTGGGCTAACTAACTGGTAGCAACGATCCTCGTGAAACCAAGTTGTTTCATAAAGATGATTTTTTCTTTCTTAGTAGCTGTACAATCAGTTGTAAAACGAACGCTATAACTGTGCGATAGCAAAATAACAATAAACAGCGAGTAGACGCATGAAAACTTACAAATTAATTTGTTAAAGCCAATCCTGTAGTTATATGAGTTTCTTTACAGTAAATTCACAATATACCAAAGAAACAAAAAAAAAAAACATTTTTAATGGTTTCAAAATGATGTGGCGTCCGTCGATAATTCTATGGAATTACGGTCCACCGACATAAAATACTCATAAAGTTTGGTAGCTAACCAGATAGATATAATTCACGAATACAATTAAACCAATAACATCATTAAATTGGATATGTTCAATATTTGTGTGGAACTCGGTCATTATATAACCATCTGTGACTCGCGTCATCCATTGTTTATTTAGTAACATTGGCGTTACATTGCAATATTCAATGGACTATTAAATTAATTATTATATATTTGATCATTCATACATGTAATTAAACGAGGTGATATTCATAATCTTATACTAATATAGTTAGCATTGTCTATTAATGTTCCATATTAAAGACCGTGAATTCATTTTTCTGTTTTCTTTTTTGCATTATTATCATTAATATAAAAGTGAGATTTTTCACCCATTTATTTATAAGAGATATGTAAGTTTGAGGGACTGGTGTTATCAAAGATTTATTGAGAGTCCAAACTACAAACTTCAAACGACTATTAAATTAATTATTATATTTGATCATTAATGTAATTAAACGAGGTGATATTCATAATGTTATACTAATATAGTTAGCATTATCATTTAATGTTCCACTTTAGCGATTATGAAACATATTTTTTTTCTTTATTATTATTATCATTATTATTCAAGTGAGATTATATACCGATTTATTTATACGAGGTATATCAGAAAAGTTTCCAGGACTGGCTTGACTACAGATGTACTTCGAATCAATTCTACAAACTAGTGTTCTAGCTTTCCCGTTCGAAGTAATCCTCCTGGAATCTTACGCACTTCCCAGCTTTCTAGCTACGCTTGCATGCACTCAGGGGTGGAGTTTTTTTGCAATTTCTACAGCTTTCTTAATGGCGTCAACCTGTTCAAAATGGGTCCGCTCGATAAACCCACTGAGCTTGAGGAAGAGAAGAAAATCCTGGAGCTTTTCTGACAGGATTCGTATATATTTTGAAATAAGCGGAGTACAAATTGAATATTTTTAAACAGAATATAATCTAAGTAGTCGAAAGTAATGTTCATAAATCAAGGATTACTTTTTTCACAAGAGAGAGGAAGGGAATTTGAGCATCGCCAACGCAAAGTTGATTTCATAGTCATACCAATTATTAAATCTTGACAAACGATACATGGGATTTAATCCTTTTTTTGAACAACAAAGTAACAAGCATCTTTTGACCTTATCTATATTTTCATTCTGATAATACTTTAAGCTTTTTCTGATGAATATCCATTACTTTGAAGATAACGCAGAGTATAAAATTTCGTCAATTGATATATCTTTATCATGAAGTTCTATAAGTTGTTTTGGACACGTTTGATAGCTTCTGATAGGAAACATCATTGGCGAAACATATTCCTTGAAACCAGCAATTATTAACCAATTTCAACAGTTCAGCGAATCCTATCAATTCGAGGGGAAATGAAAATATGAAAAGTGATGAGAACTCTGAAAGATAAACATCATTTGTAGCATTATTCCGGAAACAATTCCTTAGAACACGAGATTCCTGGAAGATAATCCAGCCGAATTCCCTCTTCGGTTAAATTAATTGTCAAACTGTTGTTATACTTGATATTGTATACTTGAATGTTCTGTCAATTTTGAAGAAATTTTAATTTAAAATCTAATCAGATTTCTAAATTTTTCATTGATTCTCACGCTATGATTATAATGATACGTTCATTCGGTTACATTGCTGTTCACTCATCATACAGTAGGCGCTGATTCTGTAACATGAAAAGCCTAGAACATAATTTTAGGAAATAATGTACGATTTTTTCTATAGTATAGATTACAGTAAGGAAGAGTCTTCATTAGCTGATGATTCAGAATGCTGGGAGCTTTTCCGCTTAATTTAGGTAATGCGGGCCGATCCCTACATACGTCGAGATGTTACCTACGTATATTTCAATTTGGTTTCCCCTGTCAATAATACAGGTCGGAGTCGCTGACATGTAAAACACGCTTTATGGATTGACTGGCGACAAATACATAGCCAAATCCTCACATCCCATGTTCTTAAGATTTGCACGATTCTTCGACGTTTTGAAATCAAGAAACTAGATCAATTGTGTTTCTCTGGTAATATTTCAATACATACCAGTGGCTCAACTACGAGGGCAAATGGTCGAACCAAATCCACAGACCCCGAGAAAAAATGAAAAATTAATAAAATATATGAATGAATGAAATAGCATTAACTACAGTCTGAAAATCTTTAAGTCTTTTAATTTTCCATTAACAGGCATTAAATTGCTTACACAGAGGAGATTTCAGAATGCAGGAGAGAATATGGGCAGAAAAAAGTTACCCTACCCCCTACATCTAGTTGAGCCGCGAACTTGTATATTAAGATCAGATGAGTAGAAAGTTGAACTCCATTGCCTTCAGTTAATAACAATATCTAAATGTTTTTGAAAGGTATATAAGATTTAAATCAGGCAATTTGGCATCGAAAACCGACAAAAACCTATAAGGAAACTTTGCCAAGTTGCAAGACAATTCCTTAACTTTAATGATTTGACTTTAATAATTATAAGCTGTCTTGTACTTTTGCCAACTGGCAGTAGTTAAAAATTTAGATAAGCCAAAATAAACTACAAAGACATAAAAATAAGACACAGATTTAATTTCTTTATAAAAATTCAAAGTTTCTGGCTTTCGAAGAGAAACACGATCATGTTTTAAAAATGGTGGTTTTGGTATATTAGATGTTTCTCGACCAAATCTGCCCATAGTGGGTAAAAGAAAGGTAACTCAACTTTCAACTTGTCGACGGAAATGGTAAGCAGGCAAATATGTCTTGGAGTCAACGTAACTACATTCAAAAGATCCAGTCAAGATGAAGGATTCGTTCCAATTCGACATTGTGGGAATTTACCATAAAACGGATACAGAACTGTATTTGATGACATAAGGAAGCAACTGACTTCGCAACTCATTTAAGTACCAAAATCCGGGTAGGAAAACTCAGATATAAGATAGATATCGCAGTAAGAGGCACATTTTGAAATGCATAATATAGTTAATTGAAGGAAAATTCGTGTGATAATCAATTATATTTAGTATTTAACCATGATGGTATCAATTTATATGCAGCAACTGTAAATGCCTGTAAATGTCGTAAATATGCATTCAGTCTAAAATTGTTTTATACTGGTTTCCACAATGGGATTGCAAATGGTTTGGCCCCTAATTGTACTCCCACGAATTTAAAAAATAAGATGTATATATGTTTTTGTCCCAAAATATGTGTCAAGACATAATGCAATTTTTCGCACATTTTCAATGGGAAACCCATGAGAGGCTTGGTACAAGACGCCAACTCAAAGTTGAATTCAGCCTCGACAGTTGTACCCTCCCCACCTCCCAAATGAGTCAGTACCCCCAGTCTCGGGAGGCTGGCGCCGCCAATGCTTATAGATAACCTAAATGACACGATTAAATAAGTGATCTATTAATTAAATGATTAATTCAAATTTAATGCAAATTTAAACTACGAGTAACTGAGAAACAAATTGACCATAACTTACCTACCCCTTTCTCTCAGTTCTTCTTTGAAGAGAATAAAAATAATCACAAAGAATCTTCCTTAACACACTTCATGAAACTTAGATATTATACACTTCTTGTTGAAAAAAGATCACTCTGTGCACAAGATAGTCCTTACTGATGAAAGAAGCAAGACTAAGTTTTTCAATCTACCGAAGTTCAGCTCTGAGTACAACCATAAATCTGTCCCAAAAGATATTATTTGCAATGATTCAGTCGGTTTAAGTTCAAGCTACACACTTTCTAAAGAATCAAATCAAATTCCCAAAAGAGCTTAGCTCTTAGCATGAAGTCCGTTGTAAACTTTATTTGCCTATTAATGTTCCACTTATTCAAACACCTCTGGACTCAGTTATCAGAATGTACACAAGTTGAAAATGAGTTGTCTTTTGTATAGAGTGTTGATGTATCAAATGATATATGAACAGTAGGCCTAATTATTGGCTGATAATTTTAAACAAATTGACTTCTATCTATAACGCCGCTCACTTACTGTTGGTTAACATTACGCCATATACTCAACATATTTAATGAAAATTGACGTGAAGCAAAATACGTTACAAGGGTTACAATACCAGAACTTTATTACCATTATTCCTAGGAGGCAATTGGTGTGAGCTTAGAGCAATAGATTCATGAATTGATTTGAAAGTTATCTAGTTCTTTATATAGTCAATCATTGAAAAAAAATCGTCTTCATTTGCTTAATTAATCAACAGAAACTCCAGTTACTACCTTTTGAACTTATGCAGCGTTTTTCTAGATTTTTTTAATGTTTCATCGACTACGTTGCAGACAGTTTCAAGTTAACATAAACGTTAACTTATAATGGTATTGGTATCTTATTAATAATGACTTTCGTGATGCATTTCATTACAGATTATTCCTTTGAGTGTATTTATCTTATGTCTTCACTTTATCATATTATCTTAATAATTGTAATGTTGGGTATAGAGAATATACTTCATTGTGTTTACCCCATGACATTCAAAAAAGGATATCTACATTTTCACAACGTTAAGCTACTATGAACTGCGTCTAATACCTTGACTTCTTTTGGTGTATATAGCCAATCAGAGCTCTCGACATAAAGACTGCAAATATTATGGCTAATGGCTTAAAATTGTCAGAGGATGAAAATTAAGATGTTATAAGGGTGAAAACTGAAATTGCCAGAGAATGAAAATTATGATCTGTTATAAGGGTGAAAAATAAAATTGCCAAAGAATGAAAATGAAGATCTGTTATAAGGGTGAAAACTGAAATTGCCAGAGGATGAAAATTAAGACCTGTTATAAGAGTGAAAAATGAAATTGCCAGAGAATGAAAATTATGATCTGTTATAAGTGTGAACAATGAAATTGCCAGAGAATGAAAATTAAGATCTGTTATAAGTGTGAACAATGAAATTGCCAGAGAATGAAAATGAAGATCTGTTATAAGTGTGAACAATGAAATTGCCAGAGAATGAAAATGAAGATCTGTTATAAGTGTGAACAATAAAATTGCCAAAGAATGAAAATGAAGATCTGTTATAAGTGTGAACAATGAAATTGCCAGAGAATGAAAATTAAGACCTGTTATAAGAGTGAAAAATGAAATTGCCAGAGAATGAAAATTATGATCTGTTATAAGGGTGAAAACTGAAATTGCCAGAGGATGAAAATTAAGATCTGTTATAAAGGAGAAAAATGAAATTGCCAGAGAATGAAAATTAAGATCTGTTATAAGTGTGAACAATGAAATTGCCAGAGAATGAAAATGAAGATCTGTTATAAGTGTGAAAAATGAAATTGCCAGAGAATGAAAATTAAGATTTGTTATAAGGGTGAAAAATGAAATTGCCAGTAAATGAAAAAAAAGGGGTTTTGAATGAGAATGAAAATTTATAATTGGACGACAAAAAAGACAATGTTACTTACTCAACATTTCTTTTGAGAAGTTAAGAAGAAATCATAAATCATTAACTATAGTGCTGAAGTTTATTGGTATTTCAAATAATAATTACTTTCGTGCTGCATTCCATTACAAAATATATTTCCTTAGAGGCTATTTATATTAAGTCTTCAATTTCATAATATCTTAGTAATTAAGGATATGGCTATATATTTCGGATTATCGCAATTCGGTAATCAGAAAAGCCGACACCTAATGTGTATTGTTATTACGGTGTGCACAAAGAACAAAACAAAATGGGAGGCAAACCTCTTAGACGATTCAAATATGTTCTAAATCGCTTAAATTTTTGGTTTCGTCAGCTGATAAAGCTTACATTTAGCATTTGTATACTATTTTGAACTGATAACAGGCCTTTGTATTATTAAATAAAACGGGAACAATCGTTACTGAAATTAACCGAAGCAGATATATTCATAATGTCAAACTGTTGTGAACTTCCTTTAATACCTTGAATGCAATACGCAATTTTCATGAAATGCAGCTATTTAATTGGATTGTACACCGGGGAATACAACCAATGAGAGCTCTTGACATAAAGTCAAATATTCAATATGAGTAATAATATAGTAAATATTGTCTTATGGTTTACAGACTTTCTTTCGAGGGCTCTCGTTGGCTGTATTCGTTAGCCTATAATCCAATCAAATTTCTGCATTCACCAAATTTCATGATACAAAAAAGGTGGCTATTGCAGTCAATGTATAAGACGAAGTTCGTAAAACCTTGACATTGTAAATATGATATTACCTACGACATAATGACATATCAAAATATCGGTATTTATGATACATAAAATCCAGCTTCTATATAATTATATACTTGCGCAAGATTCAACTTTCACAACATCAACAAAATATATAACAACAATTTCATCAAAAAGAATAACTCGCTTTGTAATACAAATTCCAATTAAATCGTGATGGCGACAACAGTCTGAATGAAATGAACAGATGGGAAACTATAATTAACATAGATAAAAGTTCAAATTAAGTAAAATATTGTGCCAAGTCGTCAAGTGGTAGACATAAAAAGTAAGAACAGACAGTTAGTGATACCGATTAAAGTATTTCTTAGTTTACTAATGATACTAGTTTAACTAAGATATTAACAAATTGCCAACTTGACGTACATTTCTGTGGGCTCGGTATTTTGATTGTATTTCCACCATTTAATCTGTACCAGCTTTTGTAAATACAGGTTACAAGTTGGAAGAATGGTGTATTTTATTCCTTTGGGAAAATTTGGATATTGCGACCGAATTTCCCATTGCAACTTATAATAATCTCTTATTATCAATGGAGAAAATAGATGCAATGGTGCCAGTAGCGGTACCAGCCTCCCGAGACCATATTAGTGCAAATAGGGGACAGACTGACTTAATGAGGGACAACAGTCAAAAGGTAGACAATGTAGAGGCGGCATTGTTGGAAGCCTATCATGGGGCATCTGAGTGGGTTCTCCCAAGAAAATTGTCGAAAAATTGAATCGATATGGTGTATTCTGACACATATTTTGGGTAAAAAGCGGATGATTTTCAGAATTTTTTAATTTGTAAAAAATAAAGTGGGGATTCAATCGGGGATATAAACCAAGGGGTAGCCGCCACGTTCAGGATGATGTCTGTCAGAAATATTTATTTTGAAACTGGTGATACCAATATATTCTCATAATGTCTTCAAAATGTATCCAAGATTGAAGAAAATTCGCATATAAATAAAAAAAAAAAGACAAAAAAACAAAAACTTTTTATCAATTCAGCGGGTTAGTCTGACCCAAATAAACAAAAACTGCAATTCCAAACTTTATATATACATAGTTATTAAACAGTTTTCAAAAAATATACGATAACTCTATATAACGACATATTTTCATTATTTACATGGCAGTTTTATTATATAAGTTATAGTCCAGTCTCGTCTTATATATTATTAACATAATCTTACAATTTTAATCATTTTTTCTCACATTTTCATCTGTTTGTAAATTAGCTGTTTTCTGACATTTGGCAAATGTATTTTGGTCAAAGGATGGTACTTTACATTACTAAGATATTCAAAAAGGAATTTTATTGCCACGTATTGTATTGAATCAGTAACAACAACCATATATTTATCAATTTCGGACAAACCCATTGTGTCAACATTTTGTATTGAGTCAGTATCAACAACCATATATTTATCAAGTTCGGACATAACCATTGTGTTAACATTTTGTTAATACATGACCGAATCCAAATTTTAGAACAATCGAATCAGAAATCATTATCTTGGACAAAACTACTGCGACAACATTTGGACAACCGTCTAACAAACTGTATATGTATCAAAATACATTCAGACAAAACCATTGTGTTAACATTGTGTCAATACATCGCTAATCTTGAAATCTACATCAGCTAATACAACCATTATGGTAACAAGCTTTTGAACAAATACATCTAATGGGTTCCAATCATCGTAAGGAAACTGATCTATTTGATTTATTCACTCCAATTTTCTCCCGTGCTTTTTAGATGAGAATTATTCATTTCATTTCATTCCTATTAAACTAAGCCATAAATTTTCATTACTTTTCACTTCTTATTTCCCCTTATCTCTTTATCGCCAACTTTTTCTTCCATTTTTTCATCATCTCATTTCAAATCAAGCTTTAGACTTGTTTTATTTAGTTTGAAGATTAAATTGACATGTATCCAAGTGCCAATCTAAAGTGCCAATATTGAAGTATTTTTTAATGTTGTTATCCGGGGTGGTAATGCTATGTTCACAATATGATATCATCGTTCATCTGTGCTAGATACCACAAAATCCAGGATGGCCGTGAAATTTTGTTTGTACCACGTTTCAGCGGTGTAAAGTTCCTTCTAATATAAGATAGCTTGTCAGGCAAGATAATATATGCCCACTGGCAGTTTTTATTTGAAATTAAAATATTTGGCAGTACAGTTATAATTACCAGTATGAAATATTCAATCCTCTTTTGAACTTTTTGAAGTGATGATTAACAAGTTTTGTTAACATCCAACAAGAATTGTGGCTTTAAGAGTGTTGAACACGTTTTCAAGAACAAGGGCAATAACTCATTTTTCCATTTTTTTTCATTTTAAATAGGGTTCATTCGTGGGCGATTACTAACACTCATACCAAGTTTCGTCAGAATCCGTCAAGAATTGTGCTCTCTAGAGTGTATACGAGCACTTGTGAACGGTTCAACGGAGTGACGCCAATATACGCTCCACATTTCATGTGGGTGTATAAAAATTGATACTAGCATTGATTTAAGTGTATTTTTTAATCATATGGTTGCAGGTTATAGAAGGTAATCGATTTCTCCAAGAGGTGGAAATTCAAAGATTTGGATAGTGCATCTGACGATCATGCGGTCTTCCTTAATCTATTCATATGCAGAACAGCTGGATCGTAAAACTATTCATTCTATTCTCGAGTCATAAGTATCATATAACAGTTCCTGAGTTTTCTGAAGATTATGCTAGCGAATATTGTGCTGTAAAAGTACAGAATGCAATAAGAACCCGACATTAATCAGATGAACATCTAAAATATACCAACCTCGAACAAAAGTGGAGCACTATAATTATTAAGTAATAGCTAGTATTTGCTTGCTCAGATTCTGTCTCGACGCTGACTATCACTATTTTTTGTAATTTTAGGTATTTGGCGAATTTATAGAAAAATAATTACCAAAGTATCAAAGTTTCCAATGAATTAACCATCTTTTAGACCAATTCTAGACAAGAGTTACAACATTGATAAGAAACAGATCAAATAGTCGTATGATTAAAGTTCAAATAGCGAAATACTTTGACATTTCAAATACAAGATAAGTGATATTTTAAACACGCCACTGGACATTAGAGTAATAACGATATCTAATGAATAATTGTTTCTGAATATTAGGCTGGACCTTTGATAATTGTAATTTATCAACCATCCAAATATATATTTATCTAGTTCAAATATGAAGGCTTTTTTCTATCATTTTCTCTGATCTGTGTACAACTCTGATTTAAAACATAATAAGCATTTTCATGTTAGGCCTACATATTTTTGTCAAAGGGATATATATGTCTATATTTCAAAGTATATCAACAGGAAATTATAATAAAAAGAGACACGTTCTTCAATAATGCTTTGGACTTCCTTCTGGAAAAACGCACCTGTATTGATCATCAAATACAGGACAAAAACTAGTGTTCGACAGCCTTCAAGCAGTTGGTGATTACAACCTCACAACAGACGCGCAGAAAAACTTTTCACAAAAACTGGGTGCATTTAAAGTATCCCATATCGCAATTCCAATCACAATGCAATCCTAAGGTCCACCAGGCGATATGAAGAACTAACTAGTGTGATACCATGGAAAGGAAAATCGACAAGGATGTCTTATCTTCATAGTTCGCTCATTACGCCTTTATACATTACCTTTGATTCAAGGAATATTTAAGACATCAAATGGCAATGTACAGGGAGTGCAAGCACCCATCAATCCATTGTCATATTAGCTTGCGATCCAATGATGTGAAAGGTATACATAATCGCCAAGGGCGCAACGTTGTTCCAGAGTTCGTGAATAATATAAACTATAAAATCTAGTTCTGAAAGTCACAAATAATCTCCCATTCCTAAGAAATTGATAAAAGACAGACAAGAATACAAACTAACTTACCTGTTTAGTGAACATTTCTGTTACTGTTATCGTAGACAATATTCCAGATGACTGAAAAACATAAGAGAAAATAAAGTTGTAAAACATACAGGAGTTCAACCGTACAG